ATAGAAGCGTCGAATTGTGCGGTAACTATTTTGGCAAAGCGTGTGTGACACAGAAGCATATCCGATTGCGAAGATGTGTTGCTATCCTATCCAATTTTGTAGACGCGTTGACATGTTTAAAGTAGCTTACGCCGAGTGCTAGAGCACTCGAACCGAGTACTAGAGTGTTTCTGACACTTTATATGTACATACACACACGTATATATATGAAGAGAGAAAGAGAGAGAGAGAGAGATAGGTGGTGCAAATATGAAAAAGGATAGGAGAAATTTTACTTGTCTGGTTGACTCGAGACTTATATATATTATATATATACCTTATGTGTCACCCTTATTTTTCGTGGCTTTTCTCACACGATAATAGGTCTGAGAGGTACGAATCGCTCGTCTGCGAAAATCATCAGTGTCGGCTTCATTGTACCTCGCTCGAACCTCAAAGTAGCTTTCTCTTCGTATTTCTTTTCTTCAAAAAGACGATTGAATCGACACACGAATACAATCTTCGGGCTGAAATTGGTACTTCCGAAAGGAATTTGATGATAAAAGAAACTTCATAAGTCACTTTGTATGTGTGTATTATAGTGAAATCGCTTGTTACAAATATTATATTTTTCAAACCATTTTATTTTTGAATCATTTTTTGTGATTTTCTTGAAAATTATTAGTGCTTCTAATTTTCACTGTCGCGTATTATTAATTATATTAATAATAGTGAAGATGTTTTATTTATGACTTTTTAGAAATCTATTTTTAATTCTAAAAAGGTAAACTTTTCTTATAAAAAATAAAGATCTGCAGCCATAGTGGCTGATAAAAATTAACTGTAAATAGCACATTTTCAACGTTTTAAACATTCAAATGTCATTGAGAGAGTTGTCAGAAAGTACCTAAATTTTTATATAAATTAAGAGAAAACGTTTTGGTAGTGAAAACTCAACAAAGCATCATGAATGTTTTAGGAAACAGCAGAAAAATGACATATGTGTATCAAAAGTTAAATCTAACCTTCTTTTCCATCTTTATTTATCTCATTAAAATTTTATTCCTTCGGTTATTATTAATATTTATCCTGTGGTAATATTAAATACTTTTATCTTAAGTTAAATATTATCTTCTTTTAATTATAAGTTAATTGTGAATGAATTTTTAATAGTAAAATTACACAATTAATATTGGTTAATAATTCATGTATAGAAACAGTCAAACAAATTTTTATTCTCGAAGTTATAAATTTATACAGATTGATGACTGCAAATTTTTCATTTCATTGTGTAATTTCTTAAAGGATTTATAATATGTATAAATAGATACACCTAGTTTCTAGGAAGTATAAAATAAAGTAATGATAATACATATTCTCAAACAATTTGTGAAAAGCGAATAAAATTGCTTTTTTATAAATTAAACCAGGTATTTGGAGAGCATTAGGGTAGCAAAGTGTCAGATAAGTCATTCATTAACAGCAAAATGGTTTTTGTTAGTAATACATGGAAAAAATTAATTCAGTAGATTTTACAGAACTATCACGGAGTAGCGGATACAGCTCTTTACGAAACTGAGTGTTGTAAAATGTCACGAAATATTCAGGATAAACTCCACAAATATTCAGTATAAAGAACAAAATTTCTGTAGTTTATAGTTGACACACATGGAATCATCCAGAATTTGGTATAGATATGTATAGGAAATATAAAAGGTTGATCCAAAATGCTATTTCTCATAAATATATTTACAATAAATTATGCAATATAAAAGTCATGTAAAATGTGAGTGACATTTGGAGGAATTGAATATCAAAAGCAATATAACTGTCCTTATGCAGATATATATATCAGAGATTCGTGCCTTGAAATATAGTTATACAACTATATATATATGTACTCTTGCACGCTGTTCTTTTTGAAAGGTCACAGCATCTAAGAGTTGAATATTATGCAAGAATAATATTTTTTAATAATTGCCGGGAAATTGACTCTCTGAGAAAGAGAGAAAAAAAAAGACTCAGGTGCGGGTTGGATAGCAAGATCCGTTACGCTTCTTCATAATAATGAAAGTATATATTCGGCTCGCGCCCGAAACATATCATTGTGCCTCTCGTCAGCTGAAAACGTTTTCGAAAGGAAGAAATTTTAAAGGATACCCCAAAAGAAGAGGGCTCCACTCGCCCCATTCTTAATACCCGGTGGTATATATTGCGCTCGTAAACGATTTCTTTGTAATCCACGCGTGTTACAAATTTCTTTTCGTGCTCATTGGCTTGGGAATAAACCCCTTCTTTAATTAGCATTATATCGAATTCTTTCCAAACGAAAAAAAAACGGGGGGAGAATCACACGCGATTCTTCTATATATATATATATATATTTGAGATGCAAAAGCAAAAATCTATCGATAGTTTATACGTGTGTTGCCCATATTGGCACGGATGTTATTTCAATCGCATTAGTATGCGCAAAAGACCGCTTTTGAAAAAAGGTCTCTATATGTCCCCTCTGTCACCCTCCCTCTATACCATCATCATCGTCATCGTTTCTTATATACGAAAAAGCAGGATCCATATAGTGACATTGAGAGCGACAACCAGGAACTAACTTCGCCGAATCCCATTTCTTCTATATATAATGGCTTTCTTCGGTCTTGAGGACACTGTAATAAAAATGCGAACTCCGATTATCACGCGAGATCTATAGGGATATATATCAGGAAAGGCGGAACTATATCGCTGCATAAATGAGACTACTGACTATATTACACGAGAATTGTTGGGAGGGGGGTTTATATGAAAATGCGACTATTCCATGCATCACTGAATATTGAATAGCTGCAAGGATACAAATACAAATCAGTTGTATATATATATATATATATATATTGAAAAAAGAAATCAACTTGACTAACAACGTCGAAGACGTTGGATGATATTCAGGTGGAGGAAGAGAAGAGACCGAGATGGAGGGAGGGAAAGGGGGGGTTTAAGTAATATGATCGCAGGTAATGTTTAATTCTAGTAATATAAATTCAATGCAGGGTTGTAAAATGCGTGCACGATTAAAAAAAAACTTGCTTGCTCTTTTTATCAAACAAGTTTTAACTTTATAAAAGGACTTATATCTGGGAAGAATTGTTATATTCAATTGGTGAATATGTGCATTTTTATGCTTTAGAATTAATTTTTTTACAGTTATTTCTATTATTTTCTTTTACTTTACTATATGTATATATATACTGCTGTGGATTTAACTCGTGCTAGTTTTGTATTATTGTGCGACACTATATATATATATATATATGTGAATATTTGAATTCAAAAATATGATATATGCAATTTCAATATGATAACACTGAGAAACAGAATTTTGAGAATATATTACATATATATATAATATGTTTAATATAACAATAAAGAATTGATAATTTCTGACATATTAAAAAAATTTCAAACGAATGCAATTGTTTTTTAAAAATTTTGTTTACCATATCAAACCCGATATTTTAAATTTTGAAAATCTGATGCCAGATTCATAATCAACGACCTCGAAAATGAAAGAATAATTTCTCGATATCGATTGCATATGCTTGAATATTGATACATTTTATCAAGCCAAGAAGCGTGATTTTCTTTTGTTTATGATTGACTTTGATCGTTCGAATGTAATTTCGAAATCTCGATCAAACGTATATATTTTTTATTATAATAATAAAATACCTCTTTTTCATCGATTTTTTAAAATAAAAAAGGAAGTTATTTGTGAAAAGTAAAATGGCAGAAGATACGAACAAAACCAAAAGCAGGAAAAGAATACATGATCAGATAGATTTAGATGATGAGCAAGCAAAAGGAGCGTATCAAAAATATTTTATAAAAATGTTTCAATTTGAATGTCAAATTTTACATACTTTTTTACTAATTTACTATTTTTATTAGTTTACAAATTTTAGTTTTATCAAATATTTAACTAATTTTATTGACAATTATTAAAATTATTAAAATGAAAAATCCTTGACCATCAGAAAAAACACAAGAACAGATTGGAAAATGATTCTGTAAAATATCTTATGTGCTTGAATTCGTGGATGAGTTGTTCTCTAAAAGACCAAATTAAAGCTTCACTTAAGGTTTAAATTGTTTTTCGAAAATTGTGTTTTATTTGTTGATTTTAATAAATATGAATAGTTTTATTAATCCCTACATATTTTTGTTCGTAATATGTTAAATATTACTTCGTTTAATAAAGAAAAAATAATAAATTATTTAATTTATATGATTTTGTATTTATTTTAATGAGAAAAGAATATTTTAAAAATTATATATAATTTTTAAAAAATTACAATATTTAAATTATACTAATAGTGATTGTTTTTAAGAGAAATTTTGGACATTAGAAATTTCAATTGCTTAAAAAATTTAAATAGGTTAGATAATAATAATAGTATAGTAATCACTCAAAATATTTTTAATTCTTCAATAAAAACTATATATTTAATTACGATAAATAGAAAAAACATCATTTACAATAACTGAGGTTATTAACAGTTTTCCTTTAAAGCAACCTATTCTGTGAGATTATTTTTATTTTGAATAAGTTTTAAAAATTTTTTTTATAACTAACTCATATTCTATTTAAGATTACAACATATATAGTACATAGAACACTCAATAATACTTTTGAAAAATCTTGCATACGTGGGGGATCGAACCCTGAACCCTTGGGACGCAAGCCGTGTTCTCTGACCATACCGTTACGTTGATTTACAAATCTTTTACCCAACACATCTTCTTAAATATTAAGAAAGTATATTCTATTTGTGATAACAAAATAACTATATTGTTTTTAAATTTGTACATCCAATAATATTTTACCTTTAACTGATTTATTAAAAAATAATCAAAAATTGTTTTAAAATTATTTATCAATTAATGAAATAATTAACAAATAAGTCAATAACTTTTGTCTAATTTCTAAATATTTTTTCTAATTCTAATTTTTTCTAATATTTCAGACTGAATGACAAAAAGAAAATGCTGCCATTGCTCCATCGAGAGAATCAACGATCGGTAAGTTTTATATATTTTTCCATAATTATTTTGAAATTAATTATCATTTTTTTGCAAATTAGTAAAAATAATATTAACATCATATTCTCTAAATCCAAATTAGTTAAAAATAACTACATTTCGTTAGTAAATTCACAGTCCGTCTTTTTGCTTTACGAATTAGTAAAAAATAATAATTAAATATTAATATTAATAGTATGAGAGCCCTCTATGTTAATTTTGTATGGACGTTCCTGCTTAAGAGGCGTGGCCTTAAACTATAGTTGCATAAAATTATACCGAAAAAGCATAACTTCTTGCAATCGTAGTATGCTGATGTCCCATTCGTTTAAATGTAGAACTTTCATGCTACAAACGCATTATTTTTCTCTCCGTGTGGTATAGCCTTTTAATAAAATAGCATTTTTTTTACATAAAAATCAAATCGAAACTTTACTCAACATTAGTTGAAAGCAACAATAAGCTCTCCTAAGTGAATTACTAAGAGGGAAACTGTTTTCAGAATTAATTTTTTTATTTTTCACACATCAATAACATCAAATGTGCATATAGGGAATCACAGAATCGCCATAGTATAACCTTAAAATATTTTTCAATAAAATTAATAATTATTTATATTTTATGTCAACTGAAGTATAGTAGATCATTCAAATGTAAAAAGTAGATTATTAAAACTTCCAAAATTATATTAATAAAGTATATAGGGTCAGTTGGGGTAAATAGGGACAAGAGGTTTTGGAGCTTAATTTACAGTTTTAAAATTAAGTTCAATGTCAATATTTTAACCTCAGATCACCTGCAAGAGGTTTTGAGTTTTGCCAAGCTTTTATCTTGACAATTGGCAGCAAGATAAAAAAAGTTATCGCGATCAATGCATAAAAACTTGAAAATCAAAGTCAAACTGTTTCAATATTTTGTCAAGCATTTCAAAGAAAACATATGTGACCTGGACAGTTAAAAGGGACCTTTTGTCCGAAAAAATTAATTTTTTATTGATTGGTGATTCTGATAGAAAAAAGTTTTCTTTATCAGAAACACCAATCAATAAAAAATCGATTTTTTCGGACAAAAGGTCCCTTTTAACTGTCCAGGTCACATATACTTAAAAATCATACCAAATTTTTTTCTTATTCCTTATGACTCCCATAACAGAAATTCTCTTGAATTTTTTATTTTTGTCAATTTGATTAATAATGACAAGCTGTCCCCATTTACCTTGAGTTTTCAAATTTTTGGTGCAAATGGAGACAGCTTGTCATTATTAACCAAATTAACAAAAATCAAAAATTCAAGTGAATTTCTTTTATTGGAGTCATAAGGAATAAGAAAAAAATTTGGTATGATTTTTAATTCTGTTTTTTTTCAAATGCGAGACAAAATACTAAAATAAAAAAAAATAAAAAAATTTTAATTGGTTCAACTAATATATATCTACTACAAATTTTTTTCGAGTTTTTTCATCCCTTAATACGCAGTAATATACTTAAGGAAACTTTTTTCTTAAAACTTTCTTAGAAAATATGCTGTCCCCATTTACACCAAATTTTATGAAATTTTCTAAATTTTGGGGTAAATGGGGACAGTCAGTTTCATGCGTTTAAAGCTTATCTAAATTTTTTCTGCTGCATAAAATTAATCCTGGGAACGTAAATAACAACTTAAAAAAAATAAACCCGCAAATATTACTTTTTGAAGGAAGAAACTTACGTAATTTGTGAAAAATGGCGATTTCGTCCCCATTTACCGCAACTGACCCTAACTTAAATAATTAAATCCTTTTGAAATCAAATAAAATTGTGCTTGTAGATGAGGACAACAAAATTTTCCGAAATATGTCTGAATAATATATCGTTTATAATTGAAAATCTTCATTCGAAAAAAGTTTTTTTTTTTTTCTTGCGTTGCGGAAAGAGGAAATATATTATGATGAAGAAATTCCTCGTCTTTAGAATTAGCATGAAAATCAATATTGTTTGGCTCTTGAATGGGAAGAAAGACGAATTGATTTTAATTAAAAAGGAGAGAAGGAAAATGTGAAGAATTGTGTGATAATCGGGAATGGAACAATAAGTATAGTATATATATATATATATAGGTAGAAAATGGTATTTTCGTGTAGTAAGGACACTTGAAGGGTTAAAGCTATTCTCAGATTGGGAACAATTCCCCTGGGGCACTTATTTCCTCCTCGTTTCGCACTTCTCGCCCTGTAGATTTTCTCTAGAGTGTACAATATAGTTATATATAGGATTCTAGATTCTCTCTCTTTTTCTCCACCTTGGTCTCCTCCTTTTTCTCGTAAAGCATCGAATCGAATTTACAGAAAAGGGGGTTCCCCGCGACACAATAACGTCGCCCGAGCCTTATGCCTTGCTTTCTTCTTTAGTTCAAGTTGGATGAATCCGCGAATGCGCGCACTGCTCTCCCCGCGTGTATATAGATGTTGTATAAGCTCAAAATCTTTCGTGCGCACGGCAGTCAAGCGGCTTTTATTCTGCGTCATACTCTCCCCTTTGCGCGCTCGATTCAGCGAACTAATTGGCATTTACCCGACGGGCACGTATTTCCGTCGTCGGCCGTCCAAACTTCCGCGTCGCTCACTTCCAATGATGATAAATAAAAGGGTTCGCTCCCTTTTCGCAGTTTACGAGGCGATACGTGCTCGCTTGGCCACTTATTCGGATAAGGGTGGTAAACGAGTCTCATCCAAAAGCTCTCTTAACCTCCAGATATTTAAATTCGTAAACGTCCGCACACACTATACAATCTTTCTTATTCATCCCCCTCCCACCAGGGAGTAAGAGCTGTAAATATATAGTGTGTGTGATGATTGTATTCTCAAGTTACTTATTTTACATATTTGTACAACAGAAATAGGCTTTCAATATTGTTCCCGTGCAGAAATTATGGTCTGGGCCTCTCAAGGCCTACTGCTAATAATCAGTGAAATATGACTGATTCAGATTTAGAGAGTACTGGAATAGTTTCCATAGTAACCGTTACCATGTCAACCGTTTCTATAGCAACCATTACCATGGCAAAACCGTTTCCATAGCAACCGTTACCATGGCATTCATTGCAATTCACAAGTAATGTAATTATAAATTATTTATTATATACAAATAACTTTTGATCTGAATTTAAAAAGCCACGAAACCCTAGATGTAGGCGCTTTGCGCCTTCTTCTTTTCCTGATTTTTTTATTCTATGAATTTTGAAAATGGCAAGAGCAAATGTAGAGGAAAAAATGGACTTCCCGGACGAAATAAGTTAAATCATCCAGACATCAAAATCATACTGTGTGAATTTTACCCAGCCTTACGCTCGCTGGATTAAAAAAAAATTTGTTTAAAAAATTATTAGAAGTTTTGGATGGCGATTGGCATTGAAACAGAAATGCTTTTTGAAATAATTCTTATAAATTAGAATGTGAAAATTTTTTGATCCACGGAAGGTATTTTAAATAACACAAGTTTTATGTCATTTTTTAAATTATTGCTAAGCAACGTTTCGATGACATGGTTTTGTCATACTCTTCAGGCTGATAAAGAAATTTATACACCTGTATTCATTCTGTACAGCAAAAAGTAAATATAGTCTATAACTTAATAGACAGAGCAATTTTACTCTCACACTCGTCGTTTCACAATGATAACCTAATGAAGCTAAAACAAATTCTTCTTAACAATGATTATCCTATTGAGTTCATTAAAAAACATACAAAAGTCCGATTAAATTGTTTAAAATCTCGTAATATTAACAATCAAAATTTAAAGAATATTCGCTTACTCATATTTAAACAAACCCCAAAAGTTTGTATCCCTTTTAATTATCCTGACTTCATTAGGTTATCCAATATTTTAAAATCTTACAATATTCAGAGCATTCCAATAGTTAACAAAAATTTAAAAACAATTGTAAAATTAGGCAAAGATAAAACCGAAAAATGGTCAGAAACTAATGTAGTATATAAATTTAAATGTAAAAAATGTCCAGCCTGTTACATAGGTAAAACGAAACGTACATTACAAACACGCATTGATGAACATAAAAAGATTGATAATTCTAAAAAAACTGTAGTGAATGAACATCAATCTGAGCCAGGTCATGAATTTTATTGGTCTAATACTGTTATTCTCGATCGAGAACCAGATTTCAAAAAACGCTGTTTTTCTGAAATGTTACATATAAAAAATAACAAAAATACTATTAATAGAAAAAATATTTTATACTTAAACAAAATTTACTTTCCTATAATTGAAAGATTAGATTCATGACTTGTCTTCACTTTTATTTGTCGCATTGTTTATATTTGAGTTCATTCACCCTGTCGTCGTCACTATTCGCATCAAACTTATAATATTTATTGTTATAGTTTCGAAAATTCGCTTGCCATGATAAGACACAAAATTTCATATTCATTTGACTAATTACAAAAAATGTAACTTTAATTTTATACTTGGTAATTGACTTATTTATTTAATTTATTGTGAATACTGTGTTTTTGTGTATCTTAGTTGTTTTTTATTTTTATTTTAATTGGTGTATAAATTTCTTTATCAGCCTGAAGAGTATGACAAAACCATGTCATCGAAACGTTGCTTAGCAATAATTTAAAAAATGACATAAAACTTGTGTTATTTAAAATACCTTCCGTGGATCAAAAAATTTTCACATTCTAATATATAATTGGGAAGGAAAATTATCATTATAATTTAATTCTTATAAATATTTTTATATTGAACACTTGTTATTGTTACAAACGGATATTTATTATTATTCAACTATATATGTTATATACACTTATAAAAAAAGGAAGTATATTATTATTTTTGTCATAATTTTTAACCACTATAAAAATGTTTATCGATCTATTTATAAATTTAAAACCGATGTTGTATATTTACAAAATACAATGAATCGTTCACAAAACCAAAAAGTCATCGATCTTATATATCTATATGTATATATATACATAAATATTGGTATCATCAACACTT